CTTTCACACATTGTTTCCAGAGTCTATAATAATTTTGAATGCTTCTATATCCTCTAATCTCTCATTTCTACCACAGAGTGCAGACAGTTGGTATATATATATATATTTTTTTTTTGTTGTTATTTTTTCTTTCTTTGGAGAGGTTTTTGCTATAGGGTGTGTGTGCTTGTCAGACAGACAGACAGAAACAGAGACAGAAAGCTAGAAATCACCTCCCAGGGAGCATAGCCACACCGCAATCCCTTCTCCTCCATTCTCCTCTCAGGATCTTGGGCACGCACACGCACTTGGCGTGAGTTTTAAGCCACCGGGTCTGGGACCCGAACCGCGGTCGACTATGTGGGAGTCCAGCGACATAGCCATTACGCTAACTGCTGGTCCCCAGTTGGTATATGTTAAGTGGAGACATAGAATGTCTCTCTTTCATAGCCTGACTTACTTTACTCAGCAGTAAATATTCTGTATTTTTCCACTTTCTATCAAATGCCAGGTTTTTTTTTTTTTTTTCCTCTGTGGCTGAGTAGTATTTCGTAGAGTATATGTGCCACACTTTTCTAATTCATTTATCTGTTCGTGGATATTTGGTTTGTTTCATGTCTTAGCAATTCTGAATAATGGCTCAATAAACACAGATGTGCACACACTTTTCTGATAGGGTTTCCTATCCCTTGGGTAGATACCCAGGAGGGGAATTGCTGAATCATATGGTAGTTCTATTTTTATATCCTTGAGAAACCTCCATATTGTTCTCCACAGTGGTTGGACAAATTTATGTTCCCATCAGCAATGTAAGGAGCTCCCCTTTCACCACATCCCTGTCAGCATTTATCATTTATTGTGTTTTTAATCTTTGCCATTCTTATTCGGGTTAGGTGGTATCTCTTTGTGGTTTTGATCTGCATCTTCATTAAGAGAAGGATAATAAACATTTTTTCATATGCTTTTTGGTTGTTTATAGAGTTGTTTCAGTTCTTTTTCCCATCCTTTAATTGGGTTAATCATTTTAAAAAATTAATTAATTAATTATTATTATTATTCATGCATTAAATCACTATACATCATTCAGATTATGATAAGACTTTACCCAGCATGATTTATACCTCACTCCAGCCCAGTTGAGACTATTGTATATATCTTCGTCAACAGATAATAAATCTTATATCTGTGTCCCACAAGAGTCTTACCTCTCCATTCCTCTCCTCCTCCCACCCCCACCCCCTCCCGCAAATTTCCTTCCCTCTGCTCTTCCCCTCCCACACTCTCTTTCCACTTTGCCTCTAGAGTCCATTACAATTTTTTTCTGGTATTCATTTATTTATTTTTGCCATTAATAATTTTATTTATTTATTTTTTATTTCATTTTCTTCCATACATTTAATCACATTATTATTTGTCTTACAAAATGGATATTTCAACAGGTGAACATTACAATTTTTAATACTTTTATGTCCTCCAGTCTTTCAGTCTCTATCATAGAGTGCCAACAGTCGATATATGTTAAGTTGAGACATACAATGTCTTTCTTTCATAGCCTGACTTGCTTCACTCAGCAACATATCTTTCATATTCATCTACTTTCTATCAAATTTCAGGGCCTTGTTGTTTTTTATGGCTGAATAGTATTCTATGGAGTATATGTGCCACAATTTTTCAATCCATTCATCAGTTATGGATATTTAGGTTGGTCCCAAGTCTTAGCAATCATGAATAATGCTACAATAAAAATAGTTGTGCAAACACTTTTCTGACTGAGTGCTCTCCTGTCCTTTGGGTAGATACCCAGGAGTGGAATTGCTGGATCATATGGTAGTTCTATTTGAAGGTTTTTGAAGAACCTCTATATCATTCTCCACAGTGGTTGGACCAATTTACATTCCCACTAACAATGTAGGAGTGTTCCCCTTTCACCACATCCCCTCCAGCACTTATTATTATTTGTTCTTTTTCATCTTCTCCATTCTGACTGGGGTTAGATGGTATCTCATTGTGGTTTTGATCTGCATCTTCCTTACAATGAGTTATTTTCATATGCTTTTTTGGCTGTTCATATGTTTTCCTTAGAGAGTTGTTTATTCAGTTCATTTTCTCATCTTTTAATTGGGATAGTAATTTTCTTCTGGGTAAGCTGCTTGAGTTCCCTTTGTATTCTAGTTATCAGTTCCTTATCTGAGGCAAAGTTAACAAAAATTCTCTCCCATTCTGAGGGTTGTTGATTCACACTAATTATAGTGTCCTTTGCTGTGCAGAAACTCCTTTATTTTATGTAATCCCACCTGTCTATTTTGGGGATTATTGCCTGTGCTTTGGGGGTCTTGCTTAAGAAACCTCTGCCTACCTGAATGTCTCTGAGTTTCCCTAGCGTTTTCCATGAGTAGTTTTATGTTTTGCGGTCTTAGGTTTAGGTCTTTGATCCACTTTGAGTTGATTTTTGTTAATAGTGATAGATAAGAGTTCAGATTCCTCTTTCTGAAGGTGGATATCCAGTTTTTCCAAAGCCATTTCTGAAGAAATTTCCCTTTTCCTACTGGATTGACTAGTACCCTTTGTCAAAGATGAGTTGGCTGTATGTTGCAGATGACATGATTGTATACATAGAAGACCCAATAATATTCATGATAAAGCTTCTCAAAGTAGTAAATGATACAGTAAAGTGGCAGGATACAAAATTATTGTTATTGTTCCCTGGCATGTATAAGCTTGGGCTCTGTGGAACAAGTTTATTTTATTTTATTATTTTATTTTATTTTATTTGCCCTAATTCTGGCTCAGTTACTAATGGTTTGCTCATTCCTGCCAGCCTGTCTCAGAACTGAGTTTCAGTTTTTATCATCAACCATTCAAGGAGAAATTAAAATGTCTGCACTGAGATTGTTCATTAAAAAACAAAAACAAAAAACGAAAAAACTCATCAAGAGGGTGAGCACCAGGGAGACAGAGCTGCAGAGACACAGCAGCTCACATCCTCATACATGATTTTGCACCTTCAGGTGTGTTAACTGGGATTGGGAGAGTTCACCCTCCCATATCCTCCATGCCTTTGGAATATCTGGTTCCATCAATGACTCAGAGTGTGTGTAGCATGAACATCAGGGAGACAAAACAGCAGAGGAACCGCAGGTCACCTCCTCAAGCATACCTTTGAACTCTCAGCTACATGTTCCAGCTCAGCCCCAGCAACACCTGGTCTTGAGACTCTGGGGAGAAATCAAGTACTCAAGCTTAATATATACACCATTCTCTGAATGGAACATGAAGACCTCTATGAAGAACATACCAGATTGCATGTGAGGAATGTTTTGATCATGAAGATTGAAAAGATTTTTGAGCATAAAGAATATACAAAATAGATGATATTGATATTTTCACTTACTGCCCGTTTGATAATTTTTGACAAAGTTTTGCTAAATTTTTAAATTAAAACAATGGAAGTAGTCATACATGGAGTCAGTCTTTGAAAATTTCAAGCAGAAACAGGAAGATAAATCCATAATAAAGGAGAAAACAAATCAACTTGTACTACACTGCAATAAATATCCCTCTTTATTAATGGACAGAAATCTTCCGTGCTTGAATAAGTGGATATACACAATGAAAAACTATCTTGCATAGTAATATGATATAGTTTAAAATTGGCATAATCATATTTAAATTAATCTCTGCTCCAAGGTCATACAAACACAAGCCATTTATTCACATTTATCTTTCCATGTACACTGCACTTAAAGCCATGTGGATAATCATCAATTTCTGCCAGTGACTCTGTAGACACTGTGTACACTGGGCTGAAGAAGATATAGAATCTTTTTTTTTTTTTGAGAGATATTTGCTATAGGGCACGTGCTCTCGCCAGACAGACAGAGAGAGACATAGAGACAGAAAGCGAGAAATCACCCCCCCAGGGGGGATGGTCATGCCACAATCCCTTCTCCTCCATTCTCCTCTCAGGATCTTGGGCATGTACACACACGTGCCTGGCGTGAGTTTTAAGCCACCGGGTCCGGGACGCGAACCGCGGTCGACTACGTGGGAGTCCAGCCACATAGCTATTACGCTAACTGCTGGTTCCCAAGAAGAAATAAAATCTTAAAGATGGGAATAAACTTTTCATTTTTGTTTCAGTCAAAATTGAAAAGTTATCAGTTGACGATAATGTGTATGGTAATATCATGATGATTAATATGCAGCATATTCATGCTGGGAGAAACTATTTTGTATGCTGTAAAGATGTATAGTGATGAACTGTAAATAAAAAAATATGTTATAAAAGAGAAAACAATAAACCCAATCAGAAGTTATAAAATGAATTGGTAAACTCTATATGATGAAGAACATTTGAGGCAGAATTATACTAATCAATGGTGGGCACAAAATTGAAAAAAAACTGTCTCAGATTTTCACCTAGTATAAAATTATATAAAAGACCCAGTTCTTCTTTCAAAACAGAACTACAATATGTGATTTTTTTTTTAACAGAAGAAAAGAAAACTTACTCAGTGCAGATCTTGGGGAAGAAATTATTTCTACAAAATCCACTTAGCTACATGAAATGAATTTGTTTTTCCAAGTTTTTCTGATCAAAGGGTAAGATCAACTTGTGGAAATAAAAAAAATGAGCTAAGGGGAAAACATATCTTGGTATCAGGCATATCTGAAAACTTAATAAGGTAAGATACTTAACATATAAAGAAGTTGAAATCAATGTCATGGAAGCTTCAGAAGATAAATAAAAGAAAAGGTCTGTTACCATAATCTCATCAGACTTATACCATTTCGTTTTTTAAAATAATTATATATTTAAAATTTTATTTATTCATTCATTTATTTTAATTTGACCAGAGAGAGAGACAGAGAAAAAGAGAGAGAGAGAAAGTGAGAAAGCAAGCCACCAGGTCCAGGACTTGAACTGTGGTTGGCCATGTGGGAGTGTTCAGCGCCTTAACCACCATGCCAATTACTGGTGTCTAAGATTTACACCATTTCTAGTTCTACTTTGAATCCTGCTAATCAGGGCATGTCTTTAGTCCCAGTACAGTTGATGCTTTAATAAGTTCCCTCCCAAAGAATCTTCTCAGAGCCCTTCTTATGTCTTTATTCCTCAGACTGTAGATGAAGGGGTTCAGCATGGGTGTGACCACAGCATATAACACCGAAGCTGTTGCACTTGACTGTGAATTGTGGGTAGCAGCAGAACCAATATATACACCTATGCTTGTACAATAAAACAGGGATACGACTGAAAGGTGAGATGCACAGGTGGAAAAAGCTTTATACTTTCCCTCGGCTGATGAGATTGCACGTATGGCAGAGACTATCTTAGAGTAAGAGTAAAGGATCCCACTGAGGGGGCCACCACCCAGCAGCACAGCTGTAACGTAGATCACCATGTCATTAAGAAAGGTGTCAGAACAGGCAAGATGAACCACCTGATTGAGTTCACAGAAAAAATGGGGGATTTCCACATGTGTACAGAAGGATAGCTGCAATGCCATTAAGCTATGTAACAAGGAATTTAGGACACTCATGAGCCAGGACACCATAACCAGTAACACACAGAGCCAGGGGTTCATAATGACTGTGTAGTGCAGAGGGTGACAGATGGCCACATACCGGTCATAGGCCATCACGGTGAGCAGGAACATGTCAAACACTGCAAGCAACAGGAAAAAGTACATCTGGGTGATGCAGCCTGCATAGGTTATGGCTGTGCTCTGTGTCTGTATATTCACCAGCATCTTTGGGACGGTGATGGAGGTGAAACAGATGTCTACAAAGGACAAATTAGAGAGGAAGAAGTACATGGGTGTGTGCAGGTGAGAGTCGGTGACGGTGGCCAGGATGATGAGCAGGTTTCCAAATACAGTGATCAGGTACATAGAGAGGAAAAACCCAAACATAAGGGGCTGCAACTTTGATTCCTCTGAAAGTCCAAGTAGAAGGAATTCAGAAATTCTTGTATCATTCCTTTGTTCCATGTGGAGGACATGACTCCTAGGAGAAAGAACAGAAACATGACTAATTTTGACTTAAAAGAGCATAATTCACATAACTGAAATGCTACCACTTTTATTTTGTACTCAACACATTTCCAGTATGCCTCAGGTAAGGAACTAATAATTAAAATAACAGGGAATTCAAGTAATTTACCCCCCCCCCATATGATCAACCCAATTAAAAGACAGGCAACTGAGCTGAGCAGACAACTCTTTAAGAAAGACATCTGAGCAGCCAAAAATCACATGAAAAATGTTCAATATCTGTTATCGTCTGGTAGATGCAAATCAAAACCACAATCAGAGACCACCTAACCCCAGTCAGAATGGCTAGTTCAAAAAATAAACAGTATAAATACTAGCAAAGCTGTGGTGAAAAGTGAAATCTCTTTCAGTATTGGTGGAAATGCAAATTAGTATAGTCACTGTGGAGAAAAATATGGAGGTTCCTCAAAAAACTAAAGATAGAACTGTCATATGTTACAACAATTCCATTGCTGGGTATCTACTCAAAGAGTAGAAATACACTCAGTAAGAAAAATGCTTCCATGTCCATGTTTATTGTGGCATAATTCACAATATAATTCACAATTGCTAAGAAATGGAATCAGCACAAATATTCAAGAACAAATGAAGAGACTGAAAAAGTGTGGCACATATACACTATGGAATACAACTCAGCTATAATACCCTGGCATTTTTTGTTTGTTTGTTTCTTTTTGAGAGTTTTTTTTCTATAGGGTGTGTGCATTCTCCAGAAAGACAGAGAGAGACAGTGAAACAGAAAGCAAAAATCAACCCCAGGGGAGATGGCCATGCCACAATCCCTTCTCCTCCATTCTCCTCTTGGGATCTTGAGGACACACTCACATGCATCCAGTGTGAGTTTAAGTCACCGGGTCCAGGACTCAAACCATGGTCAACTACATGGGAGTCCAGAGACATAGCCATTATGCCAACTGCTGCTCCTGATACCCTGGCATTTGATAGAAAATGGATGAATATGGAAAATTCACTACTAAGCAAAGGAAGACAAATGACGAAAGAGACATTGTATGCCCCATTCAATATATACCAAATGTCTGCACTCAATGGCAGAGACTGAAAGATTGGAAGCTATAAAAGCTTGGAGGACATTGTGGGTACTGGGAGACAGTGTGGGAGGATGGTGGGAAATGGGGGAGAATAAGAGAAAAGCAATCCAGGGGAAAAAAAAAGAAATAAAATATTTAAGGGTCACAAAAATGGAAATTTACCTGTTGATGATAACACATATGGTATCTTTAACTGGACTAAGATACATGGTGGGAAAATTCATTTTGCATGTTGTAATGATATACAGTGATTTAATGCATAAAAACTTATAACAGATATATTTTAAAAAATAATGTTTTCTGTGTATATATTTTTTTATCCCTTTTAATGTACTCTGACTCCTAGGCTAACTAATTATAATCCCTGTACCATTCTCAAATATACCCAGGAGGCCATGTATTCTTTGTTTCAGTGAGAAATTCCTCCACCTATTTGAGTAAAATAGAGTGTCTTTCATGTTTAGTCACTGTCTGGGTAATGCATATAGTCTTCTGAGAACTTAAAGCATTTAAAATCCAGTGATGGAGAATAAAAGGAGATGAGTCCACCTGTTGAAATATCCATTTTGTAAGACAAATAATAATGTGATTGAATGTATAAAAGAAAATGAAATGAAAAATAAACTAATTAAAAAAACTAAAAAAGAGAGAAATAATCAGATACAAGAGAGCAGGAAAATAAGTTAAAGGAGTTCTAGGGTACTATTGCAGCATAGAGTAACTTTAGTTGGTGATAGTTCAGTGCACTGTTCAAAATAGCTATAGGGAATTTAAAATGTTTACAACATCAAGCAATAATACATTTTCGAGATGATGAATATGTTTATTACTCTTATTTGATGATTATACATTATATATATTTATTTAGAAAACACACTCTCCCCCTTAAATATGTACTATTCTTACATGTCAATTAAAAAGATAATAAAGGGGCCAGCAAGTGATGTGGTAGGTAAGGTACTCCCACATGGCCAGTCACAGTTCAAATCCTGGATCTGGCAGTTTCCTTTCTCTCTCTGTCTCTCTCTCTCTGTCTCTCTCTTTGTCTCATGAGTGCATGTGCCCTATAGCAAATTTAAAAATCATAAAAATAATAAATAAAAATTACATACATTATTCTTGAAAAAGTTATAATAGAAATGAAATAGTCATGTAACATGTCAAATAAGAGTAAGAGCTTAGAAGAAAATGAAAACCTGTAGAAAGGACACAGTGGATGGGGGTGGTATTTTTGAGGGCTTCTATGCAAGATAAGCAAATAAGATAACAGTTGAGGAGAGACCTCTGGGAAGATAGAGCTCAGTAATCAGAAGGTTACCTGTGAAAGTGTGGTGCTCTAGGTAAATTACCAATGCAAAGGATAGAGAAATTACTTGTTTCAGAAAACTAAGGAGCAAAACATAATCCGCTGTGTTGAGGGGAAGTCGCAAGAGAGCAGGCAGTGAAATGGTGTCAGGGGATATTGAGGAATCAAAAGCTTGCTGCTGCTGAAACTTCAAGATACTGAAGGTCAATCACTGGGACCAGCAGTTAGCATAATGGCTATGTCGCTGGACTCCCATGTAGTCGACCGTGGTTCGAGTCCTGGACCCGGTGGCTTAAAACTCACGCCAGGCGCGTGTGCGTATGTGCCCAAGATCCTGAGAGGAGAATGGAGGAGAAGGGATTGCGGCATGACCATCCCCCCTGGGAGGGGATTTCTCGCTTTCTGTCTCTCTGTCTCTCTCTGTCTGTCGTGTGAACGCGTGTGCCCTATGGCAAAAAACTCTCAAAAAAAAAAAAAAGAATTAAAAAAGAAAGTCGATCATTAACAAGTGTTGTCCTAGTCCACAATGAATGTGTTTCTCTGTAGAAAGAATTCCATTGGCAAGCTTACAATTTACATGTAAACTTAAGCCTTCGTTTTGATATGACCATTTTGTGCTCTGTATTAAAAAAAAATAATTCAAAAAGATCTGCTTACTAAACAGAAAGAGATGAATGAAATGAGCTGAGAAGGAAAAGGGTCTGAGATAATCAAGTGGTCCATAGAATCTGAGATGAAGAAAGCTTCCTTGGCTCTGAAAGCATGCCAACCTTGGCTAATTATTATCGAAGCCCAGAAATAACAAAGCAGGAAAAACTGTGAAGGAAAAAGGAATAATATCTCATAATGCCAAGATACCTGACAGATTCAACGCCCTCAGATAAAAATGAAAAATAAGATATAAACCCATAATACACAAGAGGAAATATACAAGGTACAAGAAATATGGAGAAGGGAGTGGTAAAACACATAATGGTAAAAGGCTATTCTAAATAATATTAAATAAAAAGCATTTGGAATAAAAAATGTGCTTTAAATCTTAGGTCTATTTTTTTTTTTTTTTTGGAGAGAGTTTCGCTATAGGGCGCGCGCGCTCGCCAGACAGACAGAGAGAGACATAGAAACAGAAAGCGAGAAATCACCCCCCAGGGGGGATGGTCATGCCGCAATCCCTTCTCCTCCATTCTCCTCTCGGGATCTTGGGCATGCACGCACACGCGCCCAGCGTGAGTTTTAAGCCACTGGGTCCGGGACGCGAACCGCAGTCGACTACGTGTGAGTCCAGCGACATAGCCATTACGCTGACTGCTGGTTCCCAATCTTAGGCCTATTTTATAACACTTGCATAAAAACTCAAGAGACAGCAAGGCCATTTTAAGGTTAATATGCTCTCTTACATATGGAGATAGTGGTATTCATCCTCCTCAGGTTGTCAATAAACTGAATAAATACGTGTTAAAAGTTTAGCACAATTCTTTTTTTCTTTTTTTAATTTTTAATAATTAATTTTTTATTTCATTTTCTTTTATATATTCAATCACATTATTATTTGTCTTACAAAATGGATATTTCAACAGGTGAACATTTCTCCCTAATACAGTCGATAAAACTACAAAATATCTTCAACAGATAACACCACATTTCCTTGTGACATTAATACTTTGCTTTCCTATTTTTCTTCTAAATGTACTTCCTCAGATCCTCCTCTTG